AGTGTTATTAATTTTCAGTAAAAATAATATTTAAACAATGATTAATATAATTAACAGTTAAAAACAAAAATATTACACAGTTATATAAATATATATGTAATATTGAAGCAAATCTATTTTATCATTAAAATCTTGAAAAAACATATTATTTTCTATTATATATGTTTTTCATTAATTATATTCTGTGTTTATACTTTCTAACTTTAAAATATCTAAATATATAATAAGTGATTAAATTTATCTTTCATCCCGCACATGGTGCGGCTTATCACCTAAATTTTGTATGAATTTAAGCAAAGATGATAATCATTATTATTGCATTTTTTTCTTAAATTCATACTTTTATATTTATCATTTTTTTCCTTATAACAAATTAATCGATTTAATTGATTTCAAGAAATTATTTTTACATATTTTAGACTATTTTTATATTAATCGATATTGCTTTCATTTATAACAAATCGTTATTATTCCATTTAACCCAACCCAATAAACAATGCATATGTAACATAGTTAATTTTATCTAATATATAATACATAGTTTCAAATTAAGAAGCATTGATTATTGATTATTATATATTCATTTTTTGATTTTTAGAATCAATCAACATTATTTCTTTCCTTATATTTCAAGTTGTATTTAATTGTGTAATTGAATATAAAATTAAAAAAAAAAAGAAGTTCCAATCATTGGCATATAATAATCAATTTCAACAAATTATTTTTACTTATTTTATACTACTTTTATATTTATCGTTTCTTTCCTTATAACAAACTAATCGATTTAATTGATTTTAATAAATTATTTTTACTTATTTTAGATTACTTTGATATTAATCCATGTTGCTTTTCTTTATAACAAATCGTTATTATTCCAAGCTGATAAACGATATATATGTAACATAGTTAATTTTATCCAATATATAATATAGTTTCAAATTATGAAGCATTGATATTTGGAATCTATCAACATTATTTATTTCTTTATAGTTCAAATTGTATATATCATATATCTTGATATAAGCCCATAAATATAAAGGAAAACTTTTCTATTACCTATGTTGGTTTAATTATATCATCATAATTCTATTATAAATTAAATAATTATTCAAACCTATGATTTTTTTTCTTAAATTCATACTAAATTTAAAGAAGTTTTTGCTTAATCTTATAGTTTTTTTTTCATATAACAAACTTCAATGCAATTTTCCAATTACACAATTTTTTTCAATTTTTTTTCAAAAAAAAACAAGATTACATCATATAAAAAATGCATCTATTTCATTATATCTAATATTTTTGCCATTTGAATTTTAATATCTATAGATATTAGATAATAATTTTTTAATTCATTTATTCCGTGCAGGATGCGGATTATTACCTGATTATTATAGTATATGTTTTATTTTATATGCATCTTTCAAGATAAGATAGTGAAATTTTCAATTTTTTGATTAGCCTTTCTATCTTATTTCATTTTTTGTTATATTAAATTTTATAAATATATGTTAGTTTTACTAAATCAAACTATATCATATACAAAAAATCTATTACAATTGTATCGTTTATTATTATCATCATACTTTACTTTGGTTATGAAATGAATAATTATATTTTTATGTTTTATTTTTCTTAAATTCTTTAATAAATTTTAAAAAAATATTTCCTTACTCTTAATTTTTTCCCATATAAACACTTCAATCAATGGATTTATCCAATATACAAACTTTGTTCTTATAAAAAGATAAGTTTATATTATATTATCTTATACATTATAGTTATAAACTCTTTCCGTCACTCACCCCGCGCAAGGCGCGGGTCGTCACCTAGTTTTATAGTAATCAAAGAGATATGTGTTAACCAACACAATTCTCCAAGACTTCACCACAACCCTTTCGTTATATTAACCGTATTATAACGTATAGTCATATATATATATATATATATATATTTAAATATTAATAATGGTACTTTAATCCATTATCATTACTTTTAATATATATATATATATATATATAATTACGAGATTAAAGACATTTATAAATATAAGGTAAAGTAGGAGGGTTATCAATACACCCGAATTCTAAGTCATTAATCAAAACCCGATCCATCACGGTATTGTCTTTTATATTAGAATCTATAAACTTTAATATAAACTTGAATTTTATATTAAACCAATAGATACATAGGTCACATAGAATATAAATATTCTTACAGATCTCTATATTTCAGGAGGATTGAAAAATCTTATAAACAGAATAAGAATATCAGTAGCATATTCTTTCAGATGAAGGGCTTGTTTTCTTTAAAGTTGTATCGAGATCAGATTCCCTCACTTCTAATAAACAAAGTAGTTATTTCTGTATCTGATAGCATAGATCATTGTTCTTAAACTATATGTGACATATACCAATTACCCTAACACATAACATGTTCCTTACAGAATTCCTCTTTCAGGATTTATAATCATGGTTTTGAATTGTGTGTATATATATATGTTTCTTATTAAATATTTAAATTTTAGATTTAAAGGGCGGTGTTATACTATAATCTTTTTTGTGCATCAGAAGCTTGAATTGAAAATAAGATTCTTTCTAGGAAAACAATTCTTTCAAAATACAAGTGATATTGTGAAAAAAATGAACAAAAGTTTCAAACAGCTGATAAGAAAATTTGACGACGAAAAATTTTTGTACCGAACAAAAGAAAATGAAGTTTACAACACTTATTTGTGCTACCACGTAGTTACAATGATCACGAATACAACGATGCCTGGTAGCTTAGTATGATTTTACGCAGACGGCATGCATGCATATATATAATTTTGGTACTACATAGCTAAGTTAAACTATTTTTTCGTCGACATCGGTCACTAAATAGATAAAACATATCATTTCTTCGTCTGAAATATGGTCACGATTTAGACCAAAAAAATGTATATGAAGGTACATATATTGTATATACAAGTAATGTGGGGCAACATTACCGAAGATCAAGCCAAGATAGAGATGAGACACAACACACACAAACAAACCTTGCATTTTTTCTTTACCCTTCTTTCTAGGAGTGATTCTTGTACTTATACACCTATACACCATTACTTAAATATAAAATGCATCACTACCTATCCTGGAATGTTAATTATATTATCCGTGTGGTAGAAATATAACTTTTTATTAAACTAGGGGTGTGCCCGCGCTTCGCGCGGGATATTAGATTTTTCTATGGTCTTGTGTGGTATCTATTTGTGTAAGTCTTTGTTGTTAGTGTTTTGTTCTTTTTGTGTCTGTGATGCGTGTGTACGTAATTGAACTTACTTTTAGTCTTGTCACAATGTGTGATTATGGTTGTTAATTTTAGGTTGCTAAGTGGGGATGTACACGATTTCGTTGTAAGATGTCATGTGTCTTTGAAATTTTTTGTTGGTTTGATTGTAAAAGTTAATGTTTTGGCTGATTGTATATATAGCTGTGCGTAGAATTGCAGTTAAAGTTATCATTTTGCATTCAGGTTATGTTATGTGTCCATGGTGGCGACTTTGCAGCCCATTTATCCCTTTTTATTAGTCGATCGCCTTCTTCCTTGCTCTGATTCTTCTGTTAAATCGCTACAACAACTTAACGTCTGTGACCCAAACCGTATATAGAGGGTTTCCTCATCTTGGCCCATTTGCAGATGACCTGAAGATGTCGAGGCTCAGCAATGTGAATGACCCAAATTAGGCTTTAGGTTAAAGACAAAAGGCGCACAAAGTAGTTAGTGTGGGATTGTTTTAAAACGTGTTCTAAATTAAACTTGTTCCTATGGAAGCTCATGTCTTGAAAGTGTCGGCTGAGTACTTTGTGTATGATAAGTTTTCACCCTTTTTTTTTTGTTAAAAAAAAGTTTTCACCTCTTTATTTTGTTTTCGTATATGTAGAATAGGTATACGTAATGTTGGACCAATAAACCAAAAATTTTAAGAATAATAAAGCATATAAGATAACTATGGATTTTGTTATTATTGTTCTGAGAGCCAAATCTCGACCGAATTTTGGTAGTATGAACAACCCATATGCATAAGTCACCAAGTGTTGACCCACTTATATAAACACTATCATGAGAAAATAACTTGCTCCAATGGATACACTCATATACCTGAATACTATATGAGCATCATCTTCTCTTATGATATTAGATGTATTAACTTTGAAGGTCTCTAGATTTCATTAAAAGAAAATACAAATCAAAACCTTTAAACCATCATCCAAAAAAAATTTACCGAATTTAGAAATATGAAGCCAAACATTAACGTTGGATTATTGTTCGACGTGTTTTGTTCACTTCTAGTTCTTTTATCTAAATGTAAGTAGAACTTATGAAAAAAAAGTATAACTTCAGGTGTACAACATAGTAATGAAGAAGCATAAGTTTTAAACTCATGTTGGTTGTAGCTACGTCCTCTCCACCTCTCGCTTTTCACTCATGATCACAGAAATGATCACAGAAGTAAATAGTTAGAGATCATTGTTATGGTTTCCACTTTCTAATGCTCCAGGACGGAGTTCCTCTAGCAAGAAAACGCCCTCTCAGGCCCACACTTGGGAGTCACGGCTTCTACATATTCTCCTTGAAAGGTTCTTTAAAGACTCGCCAGTGTCCTTTATAACCAATTTTACTCTCTTTTTCTTGTTCAAAGACCTGATGCTGAATGTTTTTTGTTTTTTTCTTCTTAGTGGTTATGGAAGAAGCAGAAAACCTCTATGCTTAAAGCCTTAGAGAAAATCAAGGCTAGTAGGAGACGACTGTTAGTTTGTCAAAACTTGATTTGGTTTTTCAAGAAATTAATATAATTGATTATTGAGTTTGCCAAACATTTCCTTATTAATCACCATTGGAGAAACATACGTAATCATGATCTGTGTTCCTTCAAAATCTGTTTTCTCTCTCCAGTCTCCATGTTACCATGTGTGTTTGAAACACACAAATAATTTCTGTTTTTTTTTTTTTTTTTGTCACACAAACGATTATATTAAATCTAAAATGAGTTTAAACGATTACATCCGGAGCAAGCTCAACGGTAACAAGATAGTAACCGGAGGGATCCTCAACGGTTTGACGAAACACATAAAAGAGAACACTAAAACAAGAGGTAACAAAGTTAACAAGAGAGTCTTGCTCGATAATTTGGAGAACCGTGGGAAGCATCAACTTTGTCCCTGAATAGGTTACTACCATGAGCATGAAATAGTCGGAATCGACGTTGATTAGACCAAACAGCAAAGTTTGGAAGGAGATGGAACGAGCATGAACAGCTCTAGCTCCAGCATCGAAACTCTCCGAAGAGACTAGGTGAATCTCAACAAAAGCGGAGATTATAAAGGTCTCAGATTTGCAGCTGACGAACCAATAGAATGGACCTTGAAACGGAATAGCACCACTGACAAAATCAAAGCTAATGCAAACTCTTTGGACCTGTGATGGATGTACAAATAATGACAATTTCAGCACAACATCACGGTTTTGGGCTAGGTGAACCCATTGCACAAGATACTGTTCGGATTTATCTCTGCGGCAGCAGGTTTCGAGCGGAGTATCGTTGGCAGAAGAACTTATATCATAGTGACCTGAGACCACCTGACGTGTAATCTTGACAAGCCTTGAAGAGTAAGCTATGGTTGAGTTCAGACAGATACTTTGGGAACCAACATTACCGTGATGGATCTGTAGTTTGCCTGAGACCAACCAAGCCAGCTTGTCATCAAGCTCTATCAAACTTAACATGAAAGCGCATATACCAGTAGCTGCTTCAAAGTGAGGCTTGGACGAGATAGAGCAACTTCCGGTGGTGGAGTGTTGGCCGTCACCGGAGCAGCAGGGAACACCACAAAGAAAACCAGACCAAGTGGCTCTTTCGACAAGATGGATAGGAGGTGTTTCAGGTGCTCCGCCACTTTGGTGGATCTCGTCAGAAAGACCAGTCCTCAGAGCCTCGGTGGTTAAGTGAATGTTGATAGGTTGCGAAGGCATGAGAAGCGTTGTACGTTGAAGGTCTTGACAGCAAGGGGCGAGACTAGTAGATCTGGGACTTGAAGAGGATGAAACGCTCCAGAGGTCGTCACAAATAGCAAAGGCGGCTCTAGCAGAGATGAAGAGTGAACCGACCAGATCTATACGCAGTACCTCGGAATGAACGAACAAGTGAAACGAAGGAGGGTTGGATAGAGGGAGAAGCAGCGGAGGGTCTGGGGGGACTGGAGGGTCAGGAGGATCCACCGGAAACACCACGTGAAGGTCTGGATCTGGTGGCTCAGAAGGTGGAGGAGGAGGAACAACACTTGACGCCATGGAAGGAGGAGACGGAGACATCTTCACGTCGGTTTGTGACTTTAGGAGGAGAAGAAGCAGAACCCGTCGATCTTCATTTTGGCGGAGAAGGCTTCGGATGCGGCTGCCTCGGAAACCGTGTATGAGAGAGAAAACCCTGAAACCCTGTATCGATAAAATGTCGATAAAATCAAATAAGCTCGCTATCTCATAGTATGCATCTTTTAATAGCTGGTGATGTATCATGTATCCATCTTTGATATGCAAAAATGGATATGAGCCACACTTAACTTTGAAAGGATTGCACCAACATCACATTTTGTTAATCTTCTTGGCCATATTGAATATATCCTCTATAATTTTAATTGCAATGTGGTTTCCAGGCGCACAACAATAGCTTGAATTTGAACCAACACACTTCAAGAGCAAGATTCAAAATGGTAGACCTCATTATTTTAAAGTAAAGGATAGATATGTTCAAAGAAAGACTCTTAGTCCACATTGAGGATAACTCAACCGGTATCTTCATGTTCCATTAGATGGAAGTAGCTGGGCAAATAAGGAGCAACAACTCTTCAAAAAGAGAGCATGGAATTGATCAACTAAGTCTTTGTTTCTTCTATATCTCACAGATCTATCACAACCAAGAAGCTCCACCAAGCTAATAAACTTCGGCTGATACATCACAATTCTAGAGAGCACCAACCAGACCACATTCAGAATCTGTGAACTCCACCCTGTGGTGATTTGTAGTCTCTTTGATGACTTTTTACATCTCTGCACCTTTAGTGGTATTCACCTTAAGCAAAAGAAAGAACTTAGTTGATGGGCGAAACAGTAAATGTACGGTTTGGTTTCCAAAGACTGACAATTGGATATAGAAGCAAAACATGCAGACCTAAAACCTGACTATGATGAAGTTTTAAGTAAGCCAGAGAGTGTTGTTGATGATGATCATTCTGTAGTTACTGATGAGAACCACTGCAACCACATTCGAGATCTCCGTCTTCGTTTCTGTAGTTAGTGATGAGAGTTCCTGTTCATCTTTGTTTCAAAGTGTAAAAGAAAGGTTGTAACTTTCGCCGGTCAAACACACAGAGAAAGAAGACGACGCAGAACCCTAAGATACGGATGGGCCTAAGTATCATAAAGTCCAATCAAATCTCACTTCAACGAAGGCATGAATCTGGCCCAAAACAAAAAAAGGACACGTGGAATTTTTCCCCCCATAGAGAGAAAAAAAGCCAACTTTATTATTAAAGATAAGATCGATGGATATATATAAGACAACCTTTGGTAGGAATATAACTTATTATTAAATAAGATCGATGGATATATAAGACAACCTTTAAGATCAATAAGTCTCGAATTATCAAGAGACAACATATATAAATTGTTATAACTGATCCATTCCCAGAGTTCACCCATCAAATATTTAAGAAAATGTTATAAGGCTACAATTTTTGTGAATCGTGCAAATTTTAAAGGTGATGTCAAAATTTATACATAGACATAAGAGGAAAAACAAGAGAAAAAAGTAAAATTAGGAGAATGTTGAAAAAAGTAAAAAAAAAAAAAAGGTATGCACATACGATAAGTGTCCATAAATATAGATGTCCATAGACCAAAAATTGTACAAAAAAAAGTCCATATGACCAAAAACGAAGTGTATACAACCTCTTTTCATCTAATCTTATTGCTTCATATAGTCATATGTCGAAGAAAAAGTAACACGAAATTATAAAAGGCAACACACACACAAAGCTGTGTGAAATAGGGAAATGATGAAAGCATCAACTAATAAGAAAGCTTAAAGAAAGAAAGAGAAATGAAAAGAAAGAGGAAATGGTCAAGAGAGCATATATTCCCTTCTCCAACAAAACCCCACTTATGTTTCCAGATATGGAGTGAGAGAAGAAAACAAAGGAACAACATCAACCACTCCAAAGATATATATTAATCTACACATCTTTGCCAACAAACCCAACCATCTTTGAAAACAAATAACCCTTTCATTTTATATTTCTTGGGGGTCTTTTCTTAATTTTGTTAGAGAGAGAGATTCGTATGTGTTTTTAATGGCGAGCAACACTAATAATAGTAAGAATCAGAGGACAAAGATGAGTCTTGTGTTGTCAAGAGATGCTAAGCCTAGATTAAAATGGACTTGTGAGCTTCATCACAGATTCATCGAAGCCGTTAATCAACTCGGTGGACCTAACAGTATATACTTTTGTGTTTTCCTCTTCTTTAGTTTTAGTTTTTTTTTTTTAATCCATTTCTTGATTGGTTGTTTTGTTTTGTGTTTGCAGAAGCAACACCTAAGAGTTTGATGAAGGCTATGGAGATTCCTGAGCTTACCTTGTATCATCTCAAGAGCCATTTACAGGTACTTAATGTTGAGCAGAATCTTTGATTCGATCAGTGTTTTCAGTTTTCGATTTTTTTTGTTTTGTTTCTAGGAAGATCAAATTTGGGTGACTTTATTTTGATCTTCCTACAGAAATATCGACTAGGAAAGATCCTGAAGTTCGATGATAACAAGCTAGAAGGTTTGAGATTCTTCCATTTATTATAACATTATTGAACATATTTTTATGAAAAAATAGAACATATTCTACAACTTGAACCCTAATTTTACCATATTGTGTTACTACATCTTTATGTATATTTTTCTTACTTAATAGTTGTTTCTTGGTTGAGCAGTTTCATCAGCTTTAGAAACCCAAATATTTGAGAGTAAAAACGATTCTAGAGATTTCAAAGGCAGTGTGAACGAAGAAAACAACAATCCAGCTAACGAGTAATTAATAATCAGATAATCATAATATCATCTTCTTAAATATTTTATTTTAATACGTTGAGAATTTATTATTTGGTTTTGTTTTGAAGCAGAGGCGTGCAGATCACGGAGGCCTTACAACTGCAGATGGAAGTTCAGAAGAAACTTCATGAACAAATCGAAGTAATAACGTCAACCAAATCTCCTCATTAACTCTAGCTAAGCAGAATAATATCTGTTTTGAGTCTTAAAAATGTTTTGGCTTTAGGTTCAGAGGCATCTGCAAGTGAAGATTGAGACACAAGGCAAGTATTTAGAGTCAGTTTTGATAAAAGCTCAACAAACTCTCACTGGCTACACATCTTCCACTCTCGGCATAGACTTTGCAAGAACCGAGCTCAACAGGTTTGCTTCACTGGTGAATCCTAGTTCGTCGTTCTCAGAGCTAACGCAGGTGGAAGAATACGGAGAAGCAGAAGGTTTCTTGTGTGACAAGAAAATAGAAAATAGAGGACTTAGGCAGCTGAGATGTTCAGTTGAGAGCTCCTTGACATCTTCAGAGATCTCAGAGACAAAACTGAATAATGATAAGGACGAGAGACAATCGATGGAGCTTCCGTTGATGGAGATCAAATCAGAAGTGATGACGAAGAACAAGAAGAGAAGCCTGAACGATGTCGTTTGCATGGAACATCAGCCTCTAAAGAAGAGAGATTTTGGAGTTGATGATGATGAGCAGCACTTGAGGTTGAGTTTGGATACTTACAAAAAGACATGGTGACAGCGTCACATAGGATTAGGGTTTGCTTGAGAAAAAATAAACATTTTGCTAAAGATATATAACTGTTTTATTTTATAATATATGAATAGATTTCCATTGAACTGCATGTACAGAACTGTATTTGTCTCGCTACTCCATTCGAAACTAAGTCGGGGGAAGAACGCATGGGAATATTCTATTGAGTCAACATGATTATACATATACTATATAGAAAAATGTGTCCGTAGAGTAGGTAGGGAGGCTTGTGGATGTGGTAAAGACGGATTTGAGGGGAACCTTTTATGATCAACGAAAGAAGCAAAATGATTAAACTATAGTGAGCTTTATCATTATGTCCCAAGACTCCCGACCATGAGAAGCATGTTGGCTTCTCAGTGATTGTTTTCTACCTTGCATACTTTTCTTTTTGAAACTTTTATACCATACATACTTCATACTTAGCTTGAGTCCTCGGAAACATCTTCAATACCTTACTTATTTATTCTACTAATTAGACATTTTGAAGTTTTCTTTGGAGCCTCATCAGAAAGTGATGATACGTACTAGTTAGTATGTTTAACATAGAGGAACGAGAGTCACATGTTCATGACAACGAGGCTTATAAGTTATTTTTTCAAACGAAGACGATGATTGTCGTATACTTTTGATTTTTGAAATGTCTGAAAAACCAATTTTTTTAATCTCCAAATTCTAATCATAACAAGGAAAACAAAAAATAACACTTGTTTATAAATTAAATCATAAACTGCTACAAAATTTAGACTAAAGGTTATTTACAGTAAATTTAAAAATTCTAAAATAAACATTAAAAATAAAAGTAGTTATTTTATTAATAACTAATCAAGTTATTTAAATTTTTTCCAAATATTCTCTTTGCATTAAGATGATTAATCTATAACCCATTCGAGTTGTGGTGGCTTCAATTTTCTTCTGTGTGATCGTTTGTTAGATAGCATTTTTTAGTTTTAATTTTACTAATTTCCTTCATGCTCATGTAAGCATAAAAACAATTTCATAAGGTCACCGAACATTTTAAGAGACTGGGATAAAAACAAATTGAAAATGGACGATTGTTTTTTCATTTTCTCATCCGATTCCAAAGCATATGTTTTTAGAACCCGTGATATCTATATAGCCAAAATCCTATTTTGTCTGAATTCAATTATTGTTCCTTCCCATTGTTCTAACTTCTAAGTATAATGTGAAAACGTTTTCTGTATCTTCCAATAATTATATGGGCATATCCAATGGTCCGTGTTGTTGAAACCATCTAATAGAATTCGTGAATAAATGTGGTAAAATTGGTTAGCTAGCTTCAAATAATGTTTTTGTGTTTAGAAGTTAACAAATGATGTTTCAAAGTATTTGTTTTTCTGCATTTGAAACAATAAATTGGTTTTTACCAATCAAGCAATTCTCATCGTTGGTTTCGCTATTTTGAAATAAATGTCTTCCGTTTGGGTAGAGTGGTAAAGAGATATATTTGGTACGTACAACACATTGTTCATAGATATTTGATATATAAATCCTTGTTTACGGTACATTTGAATATTCAAGAAAATGATCTATATGTAGACTATATCTTTGCTATAGATTAGTTTTGGTCATTTCATATAATTAAGTTTTATCCTGAGTCATAAAAATGATATATCTTTCAGTATATGAATTTTCGGAAACTATTAGAGAATGGGTATTAAGAGTATGTATCACCAAACTTAGAGCGTTCATATTAGACCGTCTAATATGCACATCGATTATGATTTAAGAGTATATATAAATCCTTGTTTACGGTACATTTGAATATATTTCGGGCACGTTCTGCTCACATGTAATCTGTTTGACTTATTCGAGTTTACCCCAAAAATATATCAAATGGTAAAATAGAAGAATGACTACGGTTACCAAAGTTCATTAAAATGATCATTTCTTTTTCCGCATGAACTAGAGCAAATTATAATCAGAAGTCCCAAAATATTGGTTGAAGTATCCGGCCCAATCATATATAGGCCCATTTTCCTAGTTATTTCCAGAGAAGGACTTGAGAAGATAAGCTAAGAATTCCTATTGGAAACCAGGAATGTTGATATGGGGGACTGTTTTGCAATCTTCCAACTATACGCTGTTAGCATGCTCTCAACTTGATGCTGGCCAAGGCCAAATTCGGTTCAACCCTAAGCTGGTCCTTGTGGTACAACTCATTTAGGACCAGGCTAAATTTAGATTGGGACAATGAGGTTCGACTCTATTAGTCCATCGCAGCATGCCTATTTGTTGTAAACCAATCACAGCTCTCACTTTTTTTAATAATTGTGTGCACTAGACCTGTATCCACCGAGGGAATATCACCTTCAACTAATTCAATTATAACCCAAGTTTGCTTTGTTTTGCTTTAAACATCTTTTGGATCCTTTCTCATGTCATGGTGACCGCTTCCTTTCTTCGATCACATCAGATATCTCATTGGTCGAATCAAAGACCACAACTGAGAATAGAATGTTATTACTTTAAATTTATTATACAGATATACACTAAACGAAAAAAATCATCAGCATTCAAGATTTTGTTATCTTATTTTTTAAAATGTATGTTTTGGTTTTTTTAAGTAAAGGAAAAGTTGCAACTTTAGGACTAACCTCGAGAACGCAGAAAAGCAAAATGGAAACTCAAAATCAGCAAATGGGTTTTTTTTTTTTTTTTGGACCAACGACTGGTCTCGTCCTGCTGCTTTGTTTTAGAGCCAGCAAGCAGTATCCAATCCTCAGTTTAAAATATGTTACTTTGAGACAGAACCTAGATGTGCTTCAGAATGTTTCAAGTACCATGTGATTAAAAAAAAAAACTCTAAACAACATTAAAGAATTTAAATGGGACAGTAAAGAAAGGGGAAGTCAGATAAAGAAAAGGCTGGTCCCTTATGAAGGTAAGGAAAATTATTATTATTAATATTAATTATCATTTAGGGAACCATATCAAACCAAAGTTGGGATTTTTGAATCATTGCAATGAGGATTAAGATATGTGGATGAATCAACAGGGTGGGAAAGAAGGCATTAAGATGCATAATTAGCATAAATAAAGACACCCACATGATGATTATTTATGGTTTGTAATCCTAAACTACTACATTGTATCGCAGGGAAAGCCAACTATGAGGCGTTATATTATGGTTCTTTTTCGATATTGATGTAATATTTTGTGAGTTACTAAAGATGAAGTAGCACAAGTAAACATGCAGTCGATGTTGTTGCATAAAACACTGACCTATGAAGCATAAAACACAACACTCAGCGACATCGACTTCAGTCTTATCGCCCCTAATGGCAGAAGCCTTGGCAGTTCGTTCAGCCATAAACTTTGCCCTATCTCACCGTTTCGACTTTGGTCTCATGGTTCTAGTTCGTTATTCATCGTCAAATCTCCTCTCGACGCATTTGAGCTTTGTTTCATTTTCGCTGTCAATCCCTTTCATAATCTATCTGCTTTAACTTCTTATGGTTCTAAATTTTAGTGTTGTATTCAAAGAGGATGTATAATTCCCTCAATCTATTGTATGTTTGAAGGTTAAATTAATGAAATGAAAGGTTGCACAAAAAAAAAATAGAAAAAATCATTCTGAAGAGGGTTGCTCTCCTGTAACTTTGTTTTACCAAAGTTTAGTGCTTTATATGAATAGCTTGCTGCTGTAGACTGTAGTAATGGAATAGTACCGACGGTTTCCATGGCCCACGGCTCCGGTCCACTGTGTTCCAGCCGTTTAACAATAAACCAACAAAACCACTTTCCTTAACAACAAAGGAATTACATATAACATAACCAGAACCGACAGCATAAAAAGGGCGTAAACTTGAATGATTAGTGTAAGAACCCGTTGTCCCAAAAAAGTTAAAGGCATTGTATATTTCCAAGTACCAATTTTGAATCAAGTAAAAAAGCATTCGATGGGGTGAATATGCCATATTTGAAACCATACGAGAAAAGAAACCATGCATTAAACGGTAACGTAATTTTTTCATACTAGCAACTATGAGTTGTCACATATTCAAGTTGGGAAGTTCTATGAGCCAAAAAAAAAATCCTAATCATTAGAAAAAACGTTTGTCATGTTGTTTTTGTTTTTTTCATAGCAAATAATACTACTATAAGCACCATATATTAAACTGGCTTATAACCTAATCTCTTTATTGGGCTTGGCAGTTTGTAGATGGTGAATAACGAGAATCTCACAAAACATGGTCACTGCAAAAGAGCAAGTGTTCATGAAAGTACAACAGGACGTGAATGGATAGTTAAGGAAGGTCTCTCAGAAACCCCAAAATGGCCAATTATCAAGTCAAGATTGTTGGAATGAGAAGGATATGGTTAGACAAAAAGGCAAAGGACAAATGTAGAGTGATGTAGGGAAAACAAATGAAGAAAGATACTTAACTTCCCAGCGGTTTTCGTGTACCGAACACTTTTGTACAATCATTCTCAGATTCTTCCAATAACAGCCTTAATCTTACTTAGATCTCCAAAGCAAATGTTTTGTTAAGTGAATCTATATTCCCCAGGGACCCACTGTCCTTTTACACTTTAAAGCTTCTCCCTCCAAATCCCAACAAGTGATATATATAACAGGATTTATATCTACAGGAAGGAACACACATGAACTCAGAAGTGATACAATTTAATTTTCTCATTTATCTCCAAACCTCATTGATTTCTTTGAAGAAAAAGAAAGATACTCTTTAATTCTTCTTGTCTCTCTAAAAGCAGATATGCTGGGTTCCAGTATACGGATAATGTTATGTTTTCTTGTCTGCGTAGGTTTACTATCAGACAACAGATATAAGGTCTCAGCATTGAGAAGTTTCCTCAAAGAAACACAAGGAGACAAAGCTGGAGTTCATCCAGGTGAAATTGCTAATTTGAAGAGCATAAATGTTCATTTTAGGCACAACCGTGAAGAACACGGAATGCTCAGCGGAAACCGGCGCATTCTTGGGGAGATTAACAAGGATAAAGTTGAAGCTGATGAGAAGATGCAAGCACAAGAGAATCAGACAAAGGAATCGTTGCAATCAAGCAAGAGACATGTAAGACGAGGATCAGATCCTATCCACAACAAATCGCAGCCATTTTCATAAGTGGCACACCAAGAATCAGTTACAGAAAAAGGCAGTACACTATAGAAATCCAAGAGGAAGAAGAAAAGGCGCAACAATCAAGCTGGCGGTAGGTTAGTTGGCTAATGAAGCCGTCGTAATATGATTTTTCTGTTCAGACACACCAGGAGAACACACGATTTTTCTTTTCAGAATATTTCTTTGGAATCTTTTGTTTGCATTAGTCATAATAAGTTTCTCGTAAGTTTTCTTCTTTCTGCATTGCTTTGATCCTCCACACAAAAACATATCTCATGTGTATACAATATCTCAAAGGTTTTGATAATCTCCAAAACTTCACTGTGAAACCTCTTTTGATATTAAAGAAAAGGTAACCACTTCTGTCTTTGTAACAATATACCAAACAAGTGAAAATGAGCATCCAGGAAAATACAAACCACCCCAGTCCATAAAACAAATTTTATTGGGTCTATTTCTTAAGGGCTTTCGTTCTTCGCTCTCATCAACAAACATATGGAATTAAAAAAAGTCTGGTTTGTATTAGTAATGTATTGTTTTACCACCTCATTTCTAATCTTGTAGTATGCAAATTATTGACTCAACAACAAACAAATCGTTATATAGTTAACTGATAAGTAACGTTTATGGTGGATAGAAAAGTCGGAATCTATAGCCAATTTGATCTGAGACGTTGGAAATGTCCTATGGATCCTATAAGGAAGTATAAAAAGTATCTAACTAGTGTAAACGCAAAGTGTTATTTAGCCAAATCGGTACTTAAATAATACTCCTGAAAATTCGTCAGTTCAAAGAAGAAAAAAAAATTCTGAAAAATCGAAAACCCAACCCCCGTTCTGAATCGTAACTCAGCATTCAGGTCCTCAGATCGGGTTCGGATCAGGTCATGTCGGATCCGAATCCTTCGGGTCTTAGATATTTAAATTCACTGAATAATTAGATTTTATCGGTTCAAGTTTGGTTCGGGTCTTACCAGGTCCATATCAGTTCGGTTCTTAGATAATTAGACCCAATAGACTAATTAAAATTTATCCGTTCAGATTCGGTTTGGTTTTGGGTTGGATTCAGTTTGGATATTATCGAATCCCGTCCAAAAATACCTAAAACACACAAAAATACCAAAAAATATTTAAATACTTAAAAATACCTAAAATTTTACCCAAAATCTAAACCGGAGACATAAAAGTTTCCAAAATTTTATCTGATTATTCAAATTATATTTTTAAAATCTTAAAATTTTAGTTAAAGCCCAAAATTATACCCGAAAATCCAGATCTGCAACATAAAATAATACTCATGATAATACCAAAAATATACTAAAACATATATATACATAATATATACTAAAAGTTTTGGATATTTTTCAGATATCCCATCGGATCTCGGGTTTGGGTCGGGTCGAGTCCAAAACCCGCAGGTCCTCCACATCTAAGGTAAAATGATTAGTTCGGTTCTTACCCGAACCACACTTTTTCGGGTCGGTTCCCGATCTGGTATTCGGTTCCGGGTAAAAAGGCCTACGTAACTCCATGCTTAACCACAACGTCAACCAAGGAAGAAAAATCCGGGCCTTAACCCAAGTCGTATATGGGCTTTGTAATCTCTAGAAGATAGTGAATTCTATAAATAAATAGCTAAGAAAAAAAGATGGACAATGATGTAAAAGCCCAACAAGCCCATATCCAAAACAAACACACGAATCGCGTCCGTTGCTTTATCAAACTGTAAAACGATCCGATCCGTCAGATCTAGGTTAATAGGGTTTTGGGAAGCTACGAAGCCTTTATATACATACATTAGGTTAAATCAAGCCTCCTCAGCGTGTGAGCGAAGCCGCGAAAAAAGGAAAAGATGGTTCAGCGTCTTGTTTACCGTTCGCGTCACAGCTACGCCACCAAGTCCAACCAACACAGGATCCTCAAAACCCCAGGTTTGAATGAATTCAAGAATCTGTCTTTAATCGATCTACATGATCCGTATAAATGTTTATTTTAAATCTTGAATATTTGTTTTTGAATTGCAGGTGGTAAATTGACTTTCCAGACCACTAAGAAGCGTGCAAGTGGACCCAAATGTCCCGTCACCGGCAAGCGTATTCAGGGTGTAAGTCTTCTATGTTTTGTTTCTTGGATTGGTTGTTATTGAATTGATTATTGCAAATGTACTAGTTTGGTTTAGTGTTGTCTTGATTAGTTATGTGCTTATTGACGGTCTTGTGCTGGTTAGATGAATACCACACCAGGACATAACTTTATCATAAGCTAGATTTAGTGCCTACCTTGTCTTTTTTCAAAGTTGTCTCCTTTTTGAATGTAAGGATATTACTGTTTTACTTGGTGGCAGAAACTTTAATTATCTTTAAAAATTTGATTCATTTTTTTTGTGAATGTAAATGATGCCCAAGTTTTTATTTAACTCATGTTTTTTTTGGTTTATATAGATCCCTCACTTGAGGCCAGCTGAGTACAAGAGATCTAGATTGTCTAGAAACAGGAGAACAGTGAACCGTGCTTATGGTGGTGTTTTGTCTGCTTTGGCTGTTAGAGAAAGGTTAGTCCTTGTGCTCATTTCTGTAACATTTTTTTTCTTTCTCTTTAAATTTACATAATATTAACTGTGTTTTATGTGTCTTTTTGTGCTGTACAGAATCGTTCGTGCTTTCCTTGTGGAGGAGCAGAAGATTGTGAAGAAGGTTTTGAAGCTTCAAAAGGCCAAGGAAAAGGTTGCTCCCAAGAACTAGATGATCATATTAGCCCCTTTTTTTTTTTAGAAAAAAAAAATGTTTTATGGATCTGTTCTAGCAATTGTACTGGTTGCAGAGGTTGAGAGAAATACTTTTTGTTATTCGTTTTGGGTTTTGGACGTCGTCGACATTTCTCAAATATTGTGTTTTGTTTTCTCGTTGCGTTCACATTTCACGTTATCAACGAAGCTCCATCGGTAACAATCGATGCGTAATAATTTCGAAGTGTAGAAGAGTCGGTAGAATAAGGCATGTTTGTACTAAGAATCCAATCCCACATGACAAAGAAAGGCTGAGAGAAATTGTATTTGCTTAAGCTGATAATGTTCATCATGATAAGCAGGTCTTCAGAGTGGATATGTTAGTATAACAACTTGTTATGATTCATATAACGATGCATGAAGAAGTTGACCAAAAAAAAAAAACGATGCATGAAGTATCTGCAGTGTGTTAAAGGACTATCATGGCCGTCACAAACAATCAAGAATCCATGTTAGACTATATGAGTCACTATTACTATACTATCAACAAAACATTTTTAATCAGTCGCAACTATTTATCCATACAATTGCAATATTTCACTTAAAACTGTTTGATTCAATAAAATCTTCAAAACTCAAACCGCATTGGCATGCTGTCGCAACAATGCCAATTGATCAACTTCCAAGGATCATTTGTTGCTTTCGATCGAATATGATCATGGGATCCATACTGTCATAGAACCCGGGATACACAATCGATTGCATGTCCTCGTGTGGTGTTATTCTCCACACAACGGTCAAATAAACCTTGCCAAGCTATAAGAAAAAAGAGAGCAGTCCACGTTAAGTTGTAAGTGTCGTAGAAATAATTAAGAGTTGCGGAGAATGGAGTGAGAGATCATACTTGTGGTGATTCTTACTGTTACATACAAAGAGATTTCTTTGTAAAACCAAATTTGTTAAAACTAGAGAATCCAAATTATTATTAACCCAAATAAAGGTATCAAAAAAGCTAGATATTAAATAATGGGAGAGTATTTGGTAGCAGAAACAACTTTAAATTCGACCTCAACGTTCAGCTCGCCTTCCTTGTCCAAGTAAACATATCGAAGTTCAGGTAAAGATAAAAACGGAGACCAACCCCAAGCTGCGTTTTGTTCTGTGTACCATATTTCCACTGCAAGTAAACAGATATATATATATATATATATACCTCAGTAAATTATCTGTAATCTTTTGTTTAGTAAGAAAATAGAAAGAAAAAAAGATAATGCAAACTGTGTTTTAAATGATACATGGGTATGGGTATTCAAAGTGATTGGTTCCAAGTGGGTTAAGAATTCGGAGATTTGCTTGCACGAAAATCTTCTCATCAGCTTTTGGTTTATCCGTATCATCTAAATAAAGATAAAGGATAACCATTTTCCATCTACTCTAGAGTGCCCCTTTGGATACAGCTTTAGGAACCTACACAGCATTATACACTATTATGAATTAAAAACATTCATACGCACACAAATACACATGTCCATCATGTGAATGAATACATATATATATATACTACTTGTTATTACAATACTCTCACCATTTCTTTCCTCCCATTGAAAAACTTTTTGATGTCTTGATCACATTTTCTTTCAACTCAGAAAAATTCTTTATAGCCCAACAGAACTTAGGATCAGGGAATTTCTCAGTAAAAGAGAAGACTTCCCAGTTAGTAAGAGATGGAGCAACAATGACATCAACACCAAACTCACATTGACCTCCCTGGAAGATATATCCGTTTTCAGGGTTGTTGAATGTAACACATGGAAGAACTTGCTGCAACCCCCACACCGTTTTAAGTGCATTGAACCGCTTTACTTCTACATCTAAGAAGATAAATTTATAAACATTGATGACTATTATATGTGAATATATATATAGAGAGAGAGAGCATGAGAAGTAGCTTACCTTGAATAGTTAAGTACTTGTTTTCTCTCTTGTTATAGACAAAGAAACGAAGTTCCGCACAAACCTCTGTAGGTGGCATCAAGCTTTCGCTATCTATTTCCACGTACATGGAAATAAATCCACTCCCATTGTCTTCTGCGTTCCCTTTTGGGTATATGATCAGTCTCCTGTTTTTTTTTTATAATAAAAAGAGCGTTACATTAGCTTGATATATATAGACTAATTAATATAGTGTATGTTTATGGTGCAGATAAGACCAATTGAATAAACGACCGTACCAGTTATATCCACCAGAGGAGAAAAGACGAGATTGGTATTTAACAGTCATCTTCCAATTGTTTCTTCTCCAATCCGTCTTTATGACAAGCGATCATATTCCAAAAGTATAACTTATTAAGATATATATCTTAACATTTGACTGGAATAGTCTCTAACTGATCTCTAACTATACCACAACGATCAAAATAAAGTTTCACAATATGATATTCACAAAAGTGCAAGAAAATATATTTCACAAAAGTAAGGTTGGAAATTTGGATTTTATATATGGACTTCACTTAACAATCAAAGTTTTATCGCCAAGAATTTTTTTTATCCATAGGATGTACTACTTCCCAAATTAATTATTTCCCAATATCTCCGCAACTCTTTCAATTGTGTACACACCCATCCTTTAATAATATGTTCGATTCTTTTTTCCATCTCCACTAGTCATTTTAATCATTTACAAAAAAAAACACACCGAAGATGAACCATGAAAGATAAAACAATTAGCTGGAAAATTTAGAAAAGAAGAGATGTAAACTTTTTTGTTTGTGTAAACATAGATTTTTGGATGATACCTTGTGCTTCCACATACTGATGAAATCACCTTTGTCAACAAACTTTTCCAATTCAAATTTATTTATTGGGTACCACATTTCACAAGCTTCAAAGAACCAAGTTCGGTCTTGTTAATGGATATCTTACCACATTGTGAATCATTGTTTAAGAAATTTGCAGTTTACTAACTCAAGCTTGGCTTAAGAACTAACAAGCTATGATTTGGTTACAGGTTGTGTGTTACTAGAAAGAATAAGACACACAAGGTTACTGAGTTTTACAACATCAGTTCAACTCCTTGAGCTAGCAAGATAACAAGCTTCTCTCACTGAGTTACAAGAAGAAGAGAAAAGGACGACTCTGTATCGCTCACCCTCTTTGTATATTATGCCCTTAAAATCCCAAAGCTGAAAAAAACTGACGCCGCTTGATCCGAGCCAAGTAATGGTAAGTTAAGAGTTGCGGGGAAAGGTTTGGGAGATTTTACTTGTGGTGATGCTTAGTAATAAGTAGTAACAAATTACAAAGGGGAAGTTTTCTTTGAACTAGAGAATTCAAAAGATAATCAACAAAAAAAAAGGCTGATATGCTTGTCTTATAGCACTTGTCATGGAAAAAACAACATATAAATTAGCATTCTAAAAACTCTAGAGCTTAGATAATAGGAGAGTACTTGGTCGCAGAAACAACTTTAAATTCGACCTCAACTTTAAGCTCGTCTTGCTTGTCCAAGTAAACCTTTCGAAGTTCATCTAAAGATAAGAACCGAGCCCAACCCCAAGCCGGGGTTTGTTCTGTGTACCAGTCGTCAACTGCATTCAAATATATGTTAGTATAGATTTAGCTAGAAAACTGTATCGACAGTTGTTTAGTTAATAAGAAAATATAAATGAATAATGTATGTTTAGAAATACTTGGGACTTTTTTGTGATTGGATTCAAGTGGGTAAAGAACTCGGATATTTGCTTGCACGAAAATCTTCTCATCAGCTTTTGGTTTATCACAATCAGCTAAATACAGAAAAATGGATAGCCATTTTCCATCTACTCTAGAGTCCCCCTTTGGATACAGCTTTAGAACCCTAAACAACATTTGATATTATAAACTTGTTAATATTCATACGCATACAAACACACATGTATACGTGTATAAATAGATAGTACTTGTTAGAGAACTAAGGTATATAACCCACCATTTCTTTCCTCCCACTGGAAAATGTCTGATGTCATGACATTTTCTTTCAACGTAGAAAAATTCTTTATAGCCCAAGAGAACTTAGGATCAGAGTGTTTCTCAGTGAAAGAGAGGATTTCCCAATTGGTAAGAGGTGGAGCAACAATGACATCTACACCAAACTCACATTGACCTCCCTCAAAGATGTAACCGTTGTCAGGGTTATTGAATGTAACACATTCAATAATTTGTTGCAACCCCCACACCGTTTTAAGTGCATTGAATCGCTTTACTTCTACATCTGAGAATATATACAAAATAAATATGACTGTTATATGTGATCATTTATACATAAAGGGAGAGCATGAGAGGTAGCTTACCTTGGATCGTAAAGTATTTGTTTTCTTTCTTGTTGTAGACAAAGAAACGGAGCTCCGCAAAAATTTCTGTTGGTGGTGTGAATACCATCAAACTTTCGCTGTCTATTTCCACATACATTGAAATAAACCCACTCCCATTGTCCTCTTCGTTCCCATTTGGGTATACGATCAATCTCCTGTTTTTACAAACGACAATAATTTGTATTTAGATGATATATTACATTAATATGCTCTAAAATGGGTTGATCAGAAGCAAACAAAATGCATTATACGGCGCTCAACGCTAAATCAAATATTAAGGTGTTTATAAGTGTATACATAACATCACTTACCATTTATATCCACCAGAGGAGAAAAGACGAGATTGGTATTTATCATCAGAAGAGGCAATGGAATTCTCAAACTGGGAGAAGCTATGAATCTTGAGGGAATAAGAAGCAGGAGGATGCTCTCTCCAATTCTTCACAATCGTAGAAACTTCTGTTGAGCTCGAACCCATTCTAAATTCTATCAACAAGATTAGGTCTGTTGTTGATATATATATAGAGGAATAAAAAGATTAGTGATTTTTTTTTGTTACAAAAAAAGGAAAAAAAGATTAGTGATTTAGTAAAACGATGTTTCTAAAGCAATGACGTTTCTTGGAAACAGTTAACACGGGAGGGAAGGCGTAGCGGTCTCTCATAATGACTTTTAGTAAGAAACGAAGAGTCGTGACTCGTGAATCCAGGCGTTGATACTACTAGTGGCTAGTTACTATGCATGACGAATATAGAAGATGATAATTCATTATTCAATATCCGCATTTAACACAATCGGAACGAAGACAGTCCTCTTTTGAATACTTGATTCTTATTTTCATCTCCACTTCATCTTTAACCATTTACAACACAAAGATAATTGTCTAGTGGTGTTAGGATAATGATGTCTCATTATCTAGATAATTATGTTTACTATATTCTCGTGTGTTTATCTTGTAGATAACTCTGAGCATAGGATAAGTTCGACTTGGCTTTATCCTCTGATCTCGACTTGTATAAATAGAGAGCTTTGTACATCAATAAACTTAAGCTTTCACAATACTAATCTTACATGGTATCAGAGCAATTCTAGATCCAAATACCACAACCTCTTATTTTTCTTTCTCTTCACGTAACCTCTAATCAAGTCAAGAATGACTGATCCAAACAGCTCTCTCACCACTGCCACTGCTGTGCGCACCGCAGTCTATGACCCTGCAAACCCTGCAAACTCGCTCCTTGCCGTCAACATGTCAAACATTACACGCTTGACAAACACCAATTACCTCATGTGGAGTAGACAAATTCAAGCACTCCTCGAAGGTCATGAACTCCATCACTTCCTTGAGAAATCAGAACTTACACCAGAAGCAGTCCTCATCAACAATGGTTTGGCTGAGCCAAATCCTGCCTATCAACCATGGAGACGCCAAGATAGACTATTATACAGTGCTATCATTGGTGCCATATCGCTTCCAATTCAACCGCTCGTTGCAAGTGCTACAACCACTCATGAAGTTTGGAGCACACTCAATCTAGTCTTTGGCACACCAACTCGAGGACACATCAAACAGTTGAAGTTTCAAGTCAAGAGCTGCAACAAAGGCACAAAAACAATAAGTGAATATCTGCGTCTGATCAAAACCAAAGCAGACGAGCTAGCACTTCTTGGCAAACCAATTGATCCTGAAGATCTGATAGAACAAATCCTAGCGGGTCTTCCGGATGACTACAAAGCAGAAATTGATGCAATCAATGGACGAGATAACCTGATCTCTTTCTCAGAACTCACTGAGAAACTAATCAATCGTGAAGCTATGATTGTCTGCGATCAACCAGCAACACCGGCATTTCCAGTTACAGCCAACAACACCACAAGAACCAACAACAACAACAACAACTACACCACCACCAACAACACCCGCAACAATAACAACAACTGGCGTCCATCCTTTGTCCCACGACAAAGCACCAATGCATCTAGACCATCACGTCCGTACCTTGGACGTTGTCAGGCCTGTGGAACTCAAGGACACAGTGTTCAACGATGCCCCTCTTTCAGAGTCATTGCCAACAACTCACCGCATCAAAACTCTCCACAATCACAGTGGAGGCCACACGCCAATGCAACCTACATGGCAACTCAACACCCTGACGCTTGGCTCATGGACAGTGCAGCCTCTCATCATGTTACAACAGACCTCAACAACATGGCTGCACACATGCCATATGCAGGAACAGATGGCATAGTGGTTGGGAATGGAGCCAATCTTCCCATCACACACACCGGTTCACTCTCTCTTCAAACTCCCTCTAAAACTTTTGCTCTTAATGATGTTCTTCATGCTCCATCTATGCAAAAGAACTTAATATCAGTTAATCGTTTCTGCAAAACTAACAATGCCTCTGTGGAATTCTTTCCCACTATGTTTCAGGTGAAGGACCTCCAAACGGGGACACCGGTTCTGACCGCGCCAGCTAATGGCAACCTCTATGAATGGCCTACTTGTGACTCACGCACTCCTCTTGCTTTCTCTGCTACATCATCATCGTCCTTAGACTGGCATCACAGACTAGGACACCCAGCTTTTCCGGTTTTACAACATGTTTCTTCTTGTTTTTCTCCTGGTTTTTCTTGTCGTACTTCAAATTCTTTTCATTGCAATGCATGTTCTATTAATAAGAGTCACAAATTGCCATTTCATGAAACCTCTATCACCTCTTCTCGTCCTTTACAAATATTATTCTCAGATGTCTGGTCCTCACCTATTCACTCTTTTGATGGTTACAAATACTATTTACTCATTGTTGATCACTATACTAGATATATGTGGTTCTTTCCCCTGAAACTCAAGTCACAGGTCGCAGCCACATTCATCAAGTTCAAGGAACTCGTTGAAAATCAATTTCAGACAAAGATATCAACACTTTACAGTGACAACGGTGGCGAGTACATAGCCCTACGTTCATTTCTCTCCCAACATGGCATCTCTCATCTTACCACACCACCACACACACCAGAACACAATGGCCTATCCGAACGAAGACATCGTCACATTGTGGAAACAGGTCTCTCACTCCTCACTCACTCCTCCATTCCAACAGATTATTGGACATATGCATTTGCTGCAGCTGTCTATTTAATCAACCGGATGCCAACGAAGGTACTATCAATGGATAACCCCTACACTCGGCTCTTTGGCACGCCTCCTAACTACTCCAAACTGAAGATCTTTGGGTGCTTATGCTATCCGTGGCTGCGACCATACACTTCCAATAAGCTAGAACCTCGATCCACTCCATGTGTTTTTCTTGGTTACTCTCTCACTCAAAGTGCTTATTTGTGTCTTGATCCTTCTACTTCTCGAGTCTTTGTTTCTAGACATGTTGTTTTTGTCGAAAATAAATTTCCCTTTGTTTCTTTAAGTGCCAATGTCTCTGCTCCAGAAACAGAGGAGGCAGCGTGGGTCCCAACAGTAGTTCCCATTCATTCCTTGGGTCAGCAACAGGTGCGTTTGGCGGGTCCTTCATCAGAAACTACTCCTGCAACAACAACAACTCCACCTGCAGTACCAACAGTGCCTGCAACAGAAACACCTACACCTGCAGCACAAACCGTACCTGCAACATCAACAACGTCAGTCACTGCACCACCAACATCATCTCAACACCCCATGACGACGAGATCTCGCAACAACATTGTCAAACCAAATCCCAAATATGGTCTCACCAGTGCAGTTGCCCCATATATTGAGCCGAATACAATCACTCAAGCCCTTGCTGATGATCGTTGGCGTCAGTCAGCGACTGCTGAGTTCAATGCACAGGTAGCCAACAACACATGGGATCTGGTTCCAGCTGATCAAGCAACCAACCTGGTCGGCAATCGGTGGATTTTCAGGTACAAATTCAACCCTGATGGGACTGAGAAATCATTAAAATCACGCCTGGTAGCCAAGGGTTATCATCAGCGTCCAGGAGTTGACTATCATGAGACTTTCAGCCCAGTCATCAAATCTCCAACAATCAGACTCATCCTTGGTCTTGCAGCAAAATATGACTGGCCCCTTAAGCAACTTGATATCAACAATGCATTCCTACAAGGCACTCTCAATGAAGATGTTTACATGGTCCAACCTGCAGGGTTCGTTGATAAGGACAAACCTACTCATGTGTGCAAGCTCAACAAAGCCCTCTACGGCTTAAAACAAGCCCCACGTGCCTGGTACACAGAGTTGAAAACATATCTTCTCAGCCTTGGATTCAAAAACTCGGTCGCTGATGCGTCTCTGTTCTTCCTTCATGATCGTGGCCTTGTCATCTTCATCCTCATATACGTTGACGACATTGTGGTTACTGGCAATTCTCTCACCAAAATCCGTGACATTATCACCACCTTATCTAAACGATTCTCCCTCAAAGATCTTGACGACTTGGGATACTTTCTAGGTATTGAGGTGATGCGCACATCTCAGGGCATTCATCTCTCCCAAAGGAAATACATTGCTGATCTTCTCCACCGCAACAATATGTCAAATGCAAAGCCACTTCCCACTCCGATGAGCTCCTCGACATCTCTTTCTATACGCGATGGGACGCCTTTGGAAAATCCTTCGGAATACAGAAACGTCGTAGGAAGCCTGCAGTATCTACTCCTCACTAGACCTGACATTGCACTGGCAGTCAACAAGCTCTCTCAATTCATGCACAAGCCGTCTGACATTCACTGGATGGCAGCTAAGAGGGTGCTTCGTTACTTGGCTGGCACGTATACTTCTGGTATCTTTCTTTCTCGCCACAGCTCCTTGTCTCTTCATGCCTATTCCGATGCCGATTGGGCAGGTAACAAGGATGATTATACCTCTACTGGGGCATACATTGTCTTCCTTGGTCAACACCCTATCTCGTGGTCTGCCAAGAAGCAAACAGGAGTTGCTCGTTCCTCAACAGAGGCGGAATACAGGGCTGTATCAGCTGCAGCAGCGGAGGTTCGATGGCTCTACTTCCTTCTCCGAGAACTCCACATTCCGATCACATCAACTCCAGTCATTTACTGTGACAATGTTGGTGCAACCTATCTCAGTGCCAATCCTGTCTTTCATTCGCGCATGAAGCATCTCGCTCTTGACTTCCATTTCATACGAGAGCAAGTTCAAAATGGTACTCTACGTGTCTCACATGTTTCATCAAAGGATCAGCTTGCCGATGGGTTAACCAAACCACTAGCTCGGAACCGGTTTCAACTACTCTTCAGCAAGATCGGACTCACTAACCGTGCTCCGTCTTGAGGGGGGATGTTAGGATAATGATGTCTCATTATCTAGATAATTATGTTTACTATATTCTCGTGTGTTTATCTTGTAGATAACTCTGAGCATAGGATAAGTTCGACTTGGCTTTATCCTCTGATCTCGACTTGTATAAATAGAGAGCTTTGTACATCAATAAACTTAAGCTTTCACAATACTAATCTTACAAGTGGTAGGCGAGCTTTGGGATTTGCTAAGCAACCGGGTTTGAAGGCACCCCACTACATCTTATCTTGTGGCCACGTGGATATGGATCTATTTTATGGCCCATTTGAATACCCGGAATGAGGATCCATCTGTGGGCTGCACCATCCCTTTGGGGATTAATCTGAACCTCTCCAAAGATAATCTGTGAGATATAAAGTACTCTGGTGCTGCAATACCTTCGCTAGATAAAGATTTGTTATTTTCCAATAAATTTTTTGTTTTTTAAATTGATAATTCCAAAATCTCTTTCATCCATTTAAAAGAGGTATAAACAAAAGGACCAAACTTCATCACTACACAATCAAGTAACCTAAGCTGCGTACAAAGATTAATAGTAATAATTTTGAAACACATTCTAACTCCTAACTATCCCCCTAATCTCTCTCAAAGCTGAAACAAAGCCCGACTACATCCTCATCCATGCCAAGTTAATGAATCACTAAACGACACGTGTCCTGCAACTAGTTAAAGAAATTGTTGCCTCAACGGTTTCCACTCTCTACCAGATAAAACCAGTCCAAGATTGTTCACCGGTTGAGTCTGACTCACTATCGAACTCCTCATCATAACTTTCACCGGGAAGTAACTTGATTCTGTCAGCATGCTCAATCAACCAATCACTGAATCCTGGTGAAGCAGTGAGTCCCGCCATTGCTTCCCTCGTCGTCTCTTGTGTCACCTCTTCATACTCTTCCTTTGTCAACCTCTTCCGGTTCGGCGTCCTGTGGTACGTAGAGTAGTAATCCTTCCTTTCAATCGGTACTCTCCGGTTAAATGAAGACCCTGACATCACATTCCTCAAACCTGCAGCAAAAAAATAACAATTACATGAACACGGCATTGAAGGCAAACAATGTAAAAGCTTACTAAACCATACCGTTAGAAGGAGAGCCAGTAGAAGAAGGGACAGTCCTAGCACTGTTCCACAGTCCACCTCCAGGACGGCTAAGAAACTCGGCTCGTCCTTGCATTGGACGTCCTTTACCAGCAGGGACCAGCCATTGCCTTTGAGATACAACGCTTTTCCTGCGTAATTGCAAACATTGTTTCAGTGTTTAAAGACAGAACAAGCTTCTTCAAGATACAAAAAGACAAAGGCAAGCGAGGACATACCTATTGTGGATGGTTTTGCTGAGAAGATAACCGAGTAAGCTAGCTGAGACGAAAGCTCCCATCGCCAAAGGGGTATCCATTGTGCTCTGAAGTATTAAGAGAGTGTAACAAATTAAGATTGTTCTTATTATTATTGTAACAACTCAATTTACAAGAACATGTGCAATTTTTTTTACCTGGAAAATAAACGTGGCGGCTACAGAACGCATAGCCCATTTCACAAACTGGGCAACACTAGCATCCACACCTCCGTTTTTCGAAACAACAAACTTCCTCACCGTCCAGAATCCGGAAGCAGCTCCTGTTATAGCTATTAAAACAAGCACCAGTATTGCAACCTGAATCAAGTATTAACTGTTATTAAGCCTATGCTACAGACACATTAACTAGCACCTGCAAGAACTGAAATAGAGCTCTGCAGGGGGACTATGCCACTTACTGGACTATACATGTCTTCACTCAGCCCGAGACTGACAAGAATCATGTCGACCATCATGGAGAGTTGATGTAGGATGAATGATCCAGCTCCTACCTGCAACACAGTGATTTCAAAAGTAAGTAACTCTCTACTGAAACTAATTGCTTGGAGAACCAGAGGGTAAAACATACTCACCACAGATCCATAGAAAGCAAGATAAATAACATTTTTCCTCCCAGTAGGTAATAGCCTCATAACCTGCAAAAAGCAACAGACATAACTATTAAGCAAATGTATCATGGTCAGGGGAAAACGCCACACTTGGAGGATAACTTACCTGGAAAATAATCATGAGAACGACGAGGAAAACACCAACAGCCATAGAACTGGTGTAGTAAAAAGGAAGCCAGCTGCTGACAACTGGTGCAGCCAAGATCACGACCAGTCCAGCCACAAGACAGAGAATACGCCATTGCTGAAAATCTGCAGAAAATAAAAACATAATCAGAGAGTGAAAATTATTCACTAAAGCCAAGATATGGTTAAGAGAGAGTGGTAACAAGGAGGAACCTTCTGTAACGGAGATGTTGACTAAACCAGACCTTTCACCAGTAAACTTTACATCAATGAATTGTGTATCATATGGCGACATGGCAAAACTCCACTGGCCTTTCTGAAGGTTTTTCCAATCAGATTTCTCACACTGGCACATTCCAAGTGAAACATTCCTGAAAAAAAAAACAATAGATAGAATGGTGAAAACAAGGCTCTCTCTCTTTTCTTACTAACATGGAGAGAAGAAAAGCTATTGCACTTACCGGTGAAGACAAAACTGAATTTTGCTGTGTAACCTCTCTGAGACAGTAACCAATGGAGCCAGCTTCACCTTAAAAGAATGTGCATATTTTCCTAACTCTGTTCTTGGGTAGCCAGAGACTTGGATACGCTCACACGGAGTAAGGTTGACATATAGAACAGAGTGGCCAGGACCAACACCTGAAGATACAGAATTCATAAGTCATTATTACATAAATAAGCGAAACACAGAAACATATAGACACAAACTATACACAGGAATGTCAAAAGGAATGAAAGCAACTATGCAGGGGATTAGAACAACCGTAAAGATTCAAGCTTTATGGTTCAAAGGAGAAAGCTTTATGGTCTATGGAACGAAACCCAACAAAACCCAATTCTCACAAATATCAAAAACCCATAAGTGAACTTCAAATTCAAACCCTAAGTTTATCAAGAAGCGAAGAGAATCAAAGTAAAATAGCAACAAAGATTTGATTAGAGGACGAGATATGAAGTAAAGACGGTACCTTTGAGCGCCTCCGAGTCCGATGCGACCAAGGATGATGAAAGAAAGAAGACAGCAAGAAGAAGGAGACAAGAGATTCGATGAGGAAGAGTCGAAGAAGAAGAAGAAGCCATTATAGATTAACCCCCTTGGCTCTCTCTCTTTAGTTCGGTAAGGGAAGAGGGAACTGTGAGAAGCGCGCCTCTCCGAACACAGTATTTAACCAATGGTTTTGGGTTTTGTGCGCGTGGCGTTGTATCGAAGTGTGGAAAGGTCTCTCTGTTTAGTTTAATTAATTGCTCTTTGGAGCGCGTAGCGTTGTATGTAGGTCTCTCGGTTCGGTTTTGGTTTAGTTTGGTTCTCTTATATGCACATGAATCGGTTTTCTTTTACGATCCGTTTGAGAACCGGTATGGGTATTTATGTTCAGAACCGGCAAATACGCAGATATATTATACAAAGGTATATAAATTACTTGAAAATCCGAAGAAGTACCTAAACATCTAAAAACTTTGTTAAAAATATATAGATGTTAGAAAGAGTAAAATAATTATAAAAGTTTAAAACAATGTCAATTTATATTTTCTTTACAAGTAGATCCAATTTAAATATTTACTTGAAAATTCGAAAATAATCAAGGTCTGGAAACAACCATCGAGGAAGAAGATGATGGTGTTTGAGAGATTTAGGGTTGAAGAAGATAAGTATAATATTAGATTGATTATGCTTTGAATTAACTAACGCTTAGAAGTGGTGTTTGCACGAACCGACTCTTCATCAATATAGTAGTTTATTTAACCAAAGCAAAATGGAATTAACCAAATTAAAAATAGCTAATAGAATTCATGTAACAAGTGATTAGAAGTTCAATATAAAACTTTTAACTAAACATACTAAAAATCATGTTGTATGCACCTGGTCGCCCTTAGAGCATGTCTAATGAAACATTTGTTTTAGGCCCCCAAAATTTTTGAAGAAAATTACATGAGTAACCCAAAAAAGATTTCGTAAGTTACAAGCTTTGGAAAAATGTCCCCCATTTTGGTCGTGTTGGTATTTCTAACGAATTGACAGAAAAAAAAAAAGAAATCCTTTTGCCTAACCAATGCAGAACCGGAATTGCACACTCTCCGACCCAAACCAAATCGATAAACCGATTCCCTGTCTTGTTCTGGTTTTGTTTTGCCATGGCGTTGTAATGACGCCCCCACACCCCTGACGTGAATATGAAGCTTGATTAACTCGATATATATAAGTTATACAAACTTACTTCTGTTTCATACAAAAATACTTCGATTAACCGGTTGCTTCTCTTTTACTCGCCAGATTAATCACTCGGTAAAATCGCATTTTTCCCCTAATCTTCTCTTTTTAATCACACAATCAGTGTGCGTTAGTGACTTTACTGGTTTAAAAGTTTTCGGTTAGCTCTGTTCTGTTATTTGTAGTATTTTTGTTTTTTTTTTTAATGTTGGCAGAAGAGAACATGTCTAGTGAGTTGTTGTGTCTGGAGAGGCCTTTGTTTGGTGGCGCTATTTCCAGCGCCTTCCCTCAAAGATTCCAGGTCTGTGTCACATCATCAATCTCTTTTCTTTTTTTGGATACTAATCAGTGTTCTATCAATCAATGGTTTCATGATTTCTTCAGGATGCGAGTAATATAAGACAAGTTCCAGATCATCAGGTTATTACACCCTTTCTCTATCAAACATTAAGTTGTTACAAAAAACATTGTATAGACGAATTCTCCTAATCTTAGTTATTTGGGTTTGGCAGGAAGTGTTTGTGGATCCTTCAAGAGATGAGAGTTTGATATTTGAGCTTCTAGATTTCAAGACTGAGGTTGGTGACAACGGCAGTGCTTCTTGGTTTCTTCACGATCTTGCTCGTGAACAAGATGCCGAAGCATTCAAGGTAACACCACTAGAACTACTAGACTTTGGATTCTTCTGGTGTCTAAGAACAAGCGTTGCACCAAAAACTCAAATCATAGAACTTATCATATCATCCAAAACAATGTAGTAATGTTTGTACATGTAAATTTCAGTTGATTGAGCAATCACAAGTCATTGCTGCGCCTGGACTGTCCTTCAGAAACATCCCTGCCGTTGTGACAACTGCTGTTGCAGAGATGGTATAACTCATTCACCTGATGCTTCTCCTTTTGTTTCCTTTTTTTGTCTAACAAAGATGATTACAGGCTATATCCAAAGGAAGACAGGGAAGAGAAGCACAAAACTTAGTGAAGGTAATTAAGTTTCTCCTTGTTCTGTCTTTAAGGTGGCTCATTTTTCTCAACTGGTCCAAATAAGATGATCTTTTCTGGCAGGTTTATGTGGCAAACCTTCGTCTCAAGGGAGTTGAAACAGATGTCTTAGTGACTGCTTATGAACCTATTCTCATCAAGTAAGTTTTCATAAACTATTTTAGTAACAGAGCTTGGAACATCCCAAGCTTTGCTGTTGTTTTTGTTCCACCTTGTGTTTGGTCTCATGCGTGGTTTTTGCATATTGTGCAGCCCGCTGAGCGAAAGTGCGAATGCTGTTGGGTCTGGTTTAGCTGTGCCAGCTTCACAATCTGGAGTTTTGCCAATGTGTGATGTCATCAAACAGGCACTCTCTACCTTCAAAGTCAATGACTGGAGTCTTTTCGGTTCCTCATCAGCTTGAGTCTATGAGCAAAAAAAACAACAAACAATGCAAATCTGTCAGCTGGTGTTATGTCAGTACCGGTTTCTTAAATGCTGAAAGTTCATTTGTGTTGGGTTTAGATAGCTTCTCAAGCGGTTTGGGTCTATACAAACTTTGAGTTGATCGGTTTAGAGTTCTCTAGTTTTTCTTTTTTCACATTTATTATTTTTCCATTTCAAATGGATGAAAGAAATTTTTTTTTTAAAAAAAAATTGAAAAGAATTTGCCAGGCCCTTACTAATCTCTTTATAGACGAGGACTAGCTACCGTTAATATTGATAACATGCCGTAAAGCATCTCTCCTATCTAGAATCGAATGAAAAACACCAATTTCAGCCATTAAACCACTAGTCCAAATTAAATATCGTTGGTTTGATGAAAGATTTATTGAGAACACTTTAATGCTGATTCTTTGATAGAATGATATGTAATCTCAGTATCTGATCCAATTTTGTAATGTCTTTCGATTAATGTCAGCAAGCGATCGTCTATTACATCCCACCTTGTTAACTAGTTAGACTGAAACCTAAACTGACTAATTAACAATAATTTATTTGTTTTAACTTTAGTCACATGATATAACTATATTAATAGTAAATACATGAGACATGAGATTCTTCACTGAAAAACTATTCCACTAATGATGCTTGGAATGCCCACCCCTAGATCTGTCAATGACATCTTGCCTCTACAAATGTTTATATTAAGAAAGATCAGTGAGGCTTGATCGTTTCTTGACATAGACTTACAGAAAACGTACGAATCTCCTAGACTTGAAGAGCCCACTAGACCACAGCCTACTAGTTAATTTTCCATCTTTTCATACATCAATATATACTATTTGTTTTTGTTAATATCTTAACGCATTATACAGAACTTTTTTTTTTTTTTTTTGTAACTTAATTATACAGAACTTGTCAGAGTGACTTTTACTTAATGGAGTCATGGAGTCTTAAGGAGAATGACATCAGCCCTAATAGAGATTGTAAAACGAAAATACGGACGTCGGACAGAGACATGGCGCTGTCAGCCATTCTCATCCACCAACTCCACCATGGACCTCTTTTCCAGTTTCCACTAAACTTGTCTCACGTACATTTCAGATTTTTGTTAATACGTACGTACCAAAAAGTCTCAACCGTTATTTACTTATTTATTAGCAATGTATTTCAATTTACACAGGCTTATATTGATAGCTATAGATATATATATATATATATATATGTTTGCATTATGTGTTTTTATGGAGATACACGTCGGGGGGAAAGGATTTGCCGACACGGATGTTGATATGTGTTGAAGTGGTGTGTGTGACCACCAATTTTATAAAATTGAATTTATAAATAAAGTAAAACATATGATACGCTTCGGGATCAAAGAGATATGAGAGCGATAACGACTGTGATAGAAACTAGCTTGGGGATCATGAAAAATCAATTCGTGGCATTTCTTGTAATTCTCTATATTTTCCCGAGGGGTATTGACGAAATATTAAAGGGTACTAAAATTGTTGTTAGATTTTTCTTTTTCCATTTAACTGCAATAATGTAAACACAATGAAGAAAACGACCCTAGCAGCTCATGTCCCTTTCAATTGCGTATATATATTTAGGGGAATTGGGGCCTATAGCAAGAGAAAAAAATTTAATTGGGCCAGTAGCCATAAACCCTGACGGACACCCTCACACCGTCATTTTTATACATTATTACTATATTCTCCTTTATTTCCACCGGTTTCACCGGATGAAAAAAAGTCTTACTTTATTCTATTGGTTTCTCACTGTAACTCGTGTCTTACCCCCACTCCACCAATTCTTTAACCCTTCCCAATAACTTCTCTCCTCTTGAACCGTCTCCCAAAAAACCACCTCTTACTCTTTACAAACCACGCCTTCCTCTCTAGAAACATGCTTCTTCTCTGCGAAATTCTTACACGGCACAAGTGAATTCCCTCTCTCGATCTTCGTACTCCGCAGAAGAGAACGCTTGCTCGATCTTCTCCGTCGTCCTGTGCACCTTCTCCACTTCCGTCCTCTCTGTCGTCCCGCGCACCATCTCCATCTCCTCCTATACTTCAATTGAAATCTTCCTCGATCTCCACTCCAAATCCCCAAAAATGTGAATTCTCTCTTTCTTCGGTTCACTATCCTTTTATTCTCAAAGCTCTTTGTAGTTTCTATTGTCAATTACTGTGTTGTGGTGTTCTCTTCTAAATTAATCCTACTAACTTTGATGATCTGTGACTCATCTGCCGTTTCAATTTTAAACGGAATGGAATAGAAATTCAAAAATTTCCATACTTTTTTGCGATTTCGTATGTTGTTAATGGTTTTTCATGATAGATGGCGTGGAACATAAATAGTACCATTTTTTTGTCTAGTTAACATCGCCTTCCATACTTCTTTGATATGTTATGCTTGCATGCCTCCATTGCATACCTAGTACGATGCAAGGTTGATTATAAATATCTATACCATATGGATAATTATATCTATTCCATTCCAAGTATATAGAAAGCTGTCATTTAGGACTATTCAATATAGTATGTAATGGAATGAAGTATTATATATATACTTAGGTTGTCTTTCAATCCACCTATTGTCTCCATTGTTTCCTCTTCTGTGAAATCGCTTGTATATAACATTATAGGATTCAGTTTACATAGACTTCGATACTTGTTCTTGTTCTTCTGTTTGTATACTTGTTCTTTTTCTTCTGTTTGTATATAATTTGGTTCACGGTTCATGATTTTTAGTGTTTATGTTTGACTGTATGGGTTATATTTGGTTGAGAGATTATTTATACAAGTTTAGTTTTTACTATTTACAGTTATAACTGGGATCAAAATTAACATACTAAATGTACTCAGAAATTTATGATAATTCCATACCATAGCGTACTATGTTATTTGACTATGTTCCATTCCATTTGATGTAGCATTTACCTGAGGTGTTTGGTTTATATTTTGGGTTGATGGTTCATATTTTGGTTTAGGGTTAACTTATTTTCGATTATGGTTTCATATTTAGTGGTTGTATTATTCCATACAGTTGACATTTTGGTTAATATACGTGATAGAGAACACCGAATTTATTATATATAAATTGTTTCTTCGATTGGATACGTAGTCCACATTACGAATGGTTTATTATTTTGAATGGAATGGAACGTCTGTAGTATGTTCCATTCTGGATGGAATTGAAATTCCTTAGTATCCATTCACGGTTGTTCAATTCCACATGGATTTGTCTGTCTGCAATATATATTTTGTTTTAGGGTTAACTTATTTGCAATTATGGTTTGATATTTAATGGTTGAATTATTCCATACAGTTAACATTTTGTTTAATATATGTGATAGAGAACATCGAATTTATTATATATAAATTGTTTCTTCGATTGGCTACATATTCTATTCCATTTTGAATGGTTTACTATTGTGCATGGAATGGAACGTCTGTACTATGTTCCATTCTGGATGGATTTGAACTTCCGTAGTATCCATTCACGGTTGTTCAATTCCACATGGATTTGTCTGTAATATTATATGTCCAGCATGCTTCACTTTACCATCATGTTTACTTTGATTACATCATTGTATATCTACTTTATACTAACTATCTTCCCCTTGTTGTTTGGTGTTAGGTCTGACATGGACGATTTGGGCATTCCAAGTAGATTGTTCGCCACAGGGTTTGAACCCAGAGGAAAGAGAAGGGTGAACAACTATTTCAACCTCCGTTGGATAGAAGTGATAAAGGGTGCATTAGAAGAAGAGGATCTTGCACTGTTGAATGCTTCTCAGTTTGGTCAAGTAATGCGGATGGGGTCCCATATGTTTTCTGTTATGTTCCTCCCCTTCCTTTATATGGAATAGTTGTTTCCCAGTATTTGACATTAATTCCATGGAGACGTCATATCTGTTCCCCGACGTCATCATGATTGTAGATAGTTACTCTACTATCTACTAATCCAACTATTAAAAGGAATATAATTTGATATTGTAAACAAAAAAGGTATGGAATAGATGGAACAATATAGCATGGCACATGTAACATAGTGGATAATATACTCATTTGTATGGAATAGTTAAACAATGGAATGGAATTAATAACCAATGGATTGGGGTTTATATTTTCTTAATTTTTGTTTAGAGTTTAGCGTCCATACCCTTTTAATTGACAATTTATGGGGTTTATACGAACGTATGAGATTAAGTTGAGAAAATGAAAAAGATTATCATAAGGAAGGGGTTAATCGGCAATGGATTGGGGTTTATATTTTCTTAATATTTGTTTAGTGATTAGCGTCCACAACAATTTATGGGGTTTATACGAACGTATGAGATTAATGTAAGAAAATGAAAAATATTATCATAAGGAAGGGGTTAATCGGCAACGGATTGGGATTTATATTTTCTTAATATTTGTTTAGTGTATAGCGTCAATAGCATTTTAAATGCGGTTTATATTTTGTTAGCATTTTAACATAATAAATGGGTTAATCGCCAAAGTATTAGGGTTTATATTTTCTTAATTTTTGTTTAGTGTTTAGCGTTCATACCTTTTTAATTGACAATTTAAGGGGTTTATACGAAAGTATGAGATTAAGGTGAGCAAATGAAAAAGATTATCATAAGAAAGGGGTTAATTGGCAATGGATTGGGGTTTATATTTTCTTAATATTTGTTTTCTGATTAGCGTCCATAGCCTACTTAATTGAGAAAAATAAAAAGATTAACCTAATTCTTAACCCACCTACTAATTTTGTATGTGTTAAGCCTACTTAATTGATAACGAAATGGAACATATGAATATAAAAACGGAATGGAAGGGATGAGCTATGTAGAATGGAACAGAAATAGTTATCATGTTCCTCTATGCGATTCATACGTCTGGTGATTTAACTCACCTACAGTTAAAGAACACGTAATTTAGTTTTATACCATGTAACTGGATACCTGCTAGTGAAAAGGGTAATACCGAATGAAAAAGAGACTAAATGTCAAATATTACATTAAGTCAACATCAATGTTATATATTTAATATAGATGCCAGATTTGGCTACTGAGCTAATAAGCCCATATATTTATACTCCATAATTTTTCATCCAATGCAAAATAGTAATTCCCACAAGAAGAAAAGTAAGACAACCTTAAATATTGATCTAATAATTTTCTTACCCTAAATTATTTTGTCCTCTTTAACATTATTTTTTTTTGTTCAGCTCAATATACAATAGTGTCCTTTTATTTGGAACAAATCTATATCAAATACTCAATTATCCGTTTGAATAAAAATTAGGAAAGGGGGTATATAGCAGTAACCACATTATATGTCAAGACTCAAGAGGCCGAACTAGGTTCGTTTTGGAATAAAGATTAGTTGCTAATTTTCAGTGGAGAAAGATATTTTAGGTCTAAGCGGAATACGATATAAATTTAGAACTAGGATGTGTCAATGCATATTGTCATATACATGTATAATGAAATAATTAGACTGCAGCGATTTTACAAGAAATAGGATTCACGTAAATATTGTTGTTGTTTTTAGAGCATCTTCAACCTTACATCAAATTCTTAAATTCTGAAGTTTGTGTCATTTCAACTAATTCTCAAAATTACTCTTTTTTGTCCTTAATTATTATTTTCAAATGCATGTACTATATTTAATTTAGAATAACTTAAGTACACCAAATTAGATAAAATAAGAGAAATATTACATAACATATTCATACAATAAAAAAAATAAAAAAATAAAGCTCAAAGAAAATAAAAATACATTAAAAAACTTTAACACAAATTAAAGCAAAGTGGTAACATATTTGTAACTTTCTAAATTTTGTGTGTTGTGTGTTGTTTTATATGCATTCAGAGCCGATCATGAGTTTTGTGAGGCTCCAAACAAAAAAAATTGCAAATTTTTATTTATTTTGATACTTTCATAATTTTTCTAAAAACAATCTATTGAAATATATTTTTAGCATGTAGATATTTATCAAATTAACTATTTTGTCTGTTTTTATTGCATAAAATATTTTATTATAATGTATAATATTTTATTTAAAATAAAATATACAAATTTAATTATCAATATTTTTAAATTATGGATCCCACAAATTTAGAGCCCATACCAATAGTTCATGTGTATCCCTTCAGGTCGGACCTGTATGCATTGTACAATTTTATCATTATTAATAATTATTGTCAAAGATCATAATGCAAATGAATAATCTTTTAAAGATTTCTTTAAAGATATATTGTTAGAGCAATCAGTCCTCAAATTTTTCATTTTGTAGTTTCGTTTATCTAATTATGAATTAAATTCCACATTTGATTTTATTATCAATTGGAGATCACGCACCTGAGTTTCTGCAAGTATTATACCACCCACACATGTCATAACTATTTTTTTTTCTCTATTTATATGCTTAATGAAATCATAACATACCTTGAAAATTCTATAAATTAATAATATTGAAATTATGATAGTTTATTAATTTATAAAATTATTAATTTACAATTTTTTTTAGATTTTCTGTTAAGATATATTTTTCAAAAATAATATATATATATATATATATATATATATATATATATATATATATATATATATATATATATTATTTATTGTATATACATTAATCAATTTTTGAAATTCGACATTTATATTGGTTTTATTATATTATTTGGTGTATGTAAAATATATTTCATAGCAATCAAATGTGATTTTGGATGTAATTTACTAATTGGCATCAAAGTATATTAGTAAGTGTTAAGAAAATAAAGATAATTTTATTCTGAATATAAAACAATCAATATAATGGTTTCTTCATATTTATATAAAATATGCATACATATAAATGATCAATTTATAATTTTAGTGGTCCCATATATTTACATAATTTTTTAAAAATTATTATCCTATCATCTTATGTTATATTTTGAACCAGTCAAACTTGGAACTGAATAAATTTTTAAATTAGTGATATTTATTAATTTATCAAATATTAATTTATAGAATTTCTATAGTTAACTTTTAAAAGTTTGGCGCCCCTTAAATATACATCTCTTGGCGTCTAAAGCATGGAGTTTGTAAACTTTAACCTAGGATTGGCTCTGCATCTTATATATATGGGATAATAGGAATATATATAGTCTAAGACAGATTAAAGTCACTTAACTTCATGTATGAGTTTTATCAATCTATAGTACCGATGGTCTATTGGGCATACGCCGTCGTCCATGTATATGTGTGACATAAAAGGTGCAGTAGATGTAATCCCACAAAAGGTGCAATAGATGTAATCGTAATTACTATGAAGTTGTAGTAGAAGCTAAAGATGATGATGATGATGATTAATTTCGATCACGATTCAGGAACCCATATCAATTTGGCCAAAACTTAAGGCTAAATTAAGTAAAATACTCTCTATGTTTCAGTTTATATGTTTAAAACATAAAACGGTATTTAAAATGAAATAAAAAATTAATTCTAAGACATCAAATAATATGATACGGATCTACATTTATTATTCAACTTTTTCTTCTTGGGATGTGATCACTAAGCAGATAACCTACGTAGTTAAGCCTAAATCAATGTACTTATCATAATGATTATGTCTCGAACAGAATCTTATAGATGTTTTGTAGTATGCCTGCTCAGCATAGTCAGTAAACAACTGTTTTCTGTTCTTTTGGAAATGGTGTCGGTTGCTCTATCGATTGACCTTGAGAAACTCTTGTGTGAAGATTAAACCTTCTAAACAACTTCTCCGAGCTTCGAATACAAGATGACACCACGAGATGTTGACCCGGTGTTCACCGCACCACACCGGTAACTTGGTGTGGCCGCTATATCTCACCGGAGCCGGGATCGAACCGGCAACTCACTATTAATGCAACGGGAACTTACAAGTCAAGCCTCCGTTGATTACACCTTTTGCGATCTCACTCTCTGCTCTTCTCTCTAACGGATACAAAGTTTCTGGTTATAACAACTCCTAAACCATCACAATGAATCCTATTTATACCAACCGTAACACTTGATAACCAAGCCGGTTTACCTAATCAATATGCACAAACCACACATTGATCTAACCGAGAGAGAGAGTGATCCGGTACAATCTAAGTACAAGCTAAACCGATTACAATCCTAATCTAATTAGACTTAACTAAGAAAGTACCTTTAACCGGACGAACCAATTGTCTACAACCTTCAAATCTCCTCCTTAGACAATGCCGTGAGAAACACATCAATACCTGATGCAAGCAACTGTGATCATAAACTCGACCACTCTAGAGTTCTTTACCAAACTCTTATGAGAGCTCTTCACCGAGCTCCTCCTTGAGCCCTTTACCGGACTCACAGACTTCAAGCTCAGTCTTTGGAGATACGAAGCAACTTCAGTGCTTCTTTCAACTTGTATACTGGTAGGACCTTTGTGAAAATATCAGCAGGGTTATTAGCTGTAGCAATCTTCTCAACCTTAACTTCTCCTACGTTTATCAAATCTCGAATGAAATGATATTTCGTTGCTACGTGTTTGGTTCTCTCGTGATACACTGCATTCTTGGCCAACGCAATAGCACTCTGCGAATCACAATAAACTTCCACATTATCTTGAGGAAAACCAAGCTCTTCTGCGAATCTTTTTAACCAAACTCCCTCTTTAACAGCTTCAGACAATGCTATGTACTCCGCTTCAGTGGTAGACAGGGCCACAACCTTCTGAAGTGATGACTTCCAACTCACTGGATTACCTCCTGCAGTGAATATCATTCCAGTAGTTGATTTCCTGTGATCCAAATCCCCACCGTAGTCAGAGTCACAATATCCTCTAACCACAAAGTCTCCTTTCTTCCTAAAACACAACTTA